TGCTGTTTGCTTTACCTATATTATATCATATGTGTACGCTACATAAACTAAAATGGCGGCTAAAAGGCTCTAGTGGATTGTACTCTGCAGACGTGATGCATTTATAATAGCACGACATGCACGCGCGCACATGCTCGCTGCTTGATTCAGATCGCTGGGCAAGTGCCTATAAATATCACATAGCCTGGCATTCGTGCAGGTGTTCGTAATTAAATCATGCCTGACAGTTATGATATAATCTGTGCCATCCGGTCCACGTCACGCTGAGCCAGGCAGAGTACGCGGTCGTTCCATAATTATATAATTATGCTGCGTTCTTACACTATCGTATTTTGTCAGCAAATCGTCCGAGTCTGCAAAATAAAAGCACGGTCAATGTTCTCCAACTCGGCGACGTGACTCCGACTCGACTCCACACACAATCGAATTCTCAGCCGATTAAGTTGGAATCACTCTGGGTCAACGGGAAGATTGAATGCACTTCGGTACGATTTTGTGACAAAAATCGATAGTGAACGCAGCTTCGTTGATGCTTCGTGGAACAAAGAAGTCGACAAAAAGTCACTTCGTGGGATGTTGGTAGGTGTCTGACGTGTAAGATCGTGCGCCTAGCAGCGTCACTTACTGTAATAACGTCGCCGCGCAAAACCGTAACAGAGCGACATGCAGCCGGCGACCTTTAATTTTTCCATTCTCGCTAACCTGCCAGCTCAGGCATTGTTGCGTCGCGCCACCCATTAGTTACTATGGACAACCAGCGTGTCCTTGGTGGTTGATTTCCCCTCACTGTGCACCACTGGCTTTTTTCGCTGGATTTTCTACAACGCATTTCTCTCGTTTTTGCATAGTCCAATATTTAATGTAGTTTATACTCTATTCATTCAGGATCTACGGTTGGACGCCTCCTTTTGGTCCTGTCCTATTCTAGAGCTAAAAATCTCTATGTTTACACTAACCTGTGACAAACGAAGCAAATTCGGTGCTCTGTTTGACTCTAAGAAAAATGTGCATAGTTCGTCAATATAGGATTCCCACAATATTTTGCACTTCTTAAAGTGCACAGGATTGATATAAATTATAAGAATCCATATAACTATCTTTTACAAATATGCATGATTGCTTTGAAAGTGTTCGAAGAAATACATTCTCTTTTTGTACACACTATTATAAGGATATCTAATTTTTAAATCTACCAAAAGAAGCTAATAATAATTATTGAAAGGCATTGACTATGCTATTATAAAACCATTAAATGCATAATGTGACTAAAGTAAGAAGTAATTGCAAACTTTGACAAAGGATTTTCAACGACATTTCAATAATAATTGAATGCTATGTCTCAATTCAATTGAGTTATGACTTCATGTTTTTAACACCTGTGAAAAATCTCTTTATTATTATTTAATTTAAGAGCATTGCATCAGTATATAACATATATACATCTGATTGTGATTGTTCATAGCCAGGGTTATAGAGGCAGCATTCTTCGTAGTACCAAAAACCGCATGAATATGTGAATACGGTGACAGATTTGTCTAGTTTCATTCAGTTGTTGATCAACTGTCGCAATACTCCAAGGCTTGAAATACAAACCATGCCTACGCCAACATTCCATCAGTGCGGACAACAGAACAGGTGTATGCACTGAACCTTCCACCTAGCCGCCCCGATTGATTCGCTGGGAGACTCGCATGCTTGCTTGAAGCGTGTTGCTTGCTTTGACACTCTCACACAGGCAAGTACAACGGGAGGGTGGGAGGCCAAAATGCTGCTTCTCTTGCTGCCTTAGCCTTTTTGTATGATCTACCTCGTTCATTATTTCTCTCTCTCTCTCTCTCTCTCTCTCTCTCTCTCTCTCTCTCTCTCTCTCTCTCTCTCTCTCTCTCTCTCTTTCATCATCCTTCTTCTCTTCCTCTCACTCTCTCTCTCTCTCTCTCTTTCTCTGCTTCTCTTTCTATTTCACTGGCTCTTCCCCTCTTCCCCCTCCCCATAACCCATTTATACCAATCCCCAATGTTATTCACATTTTGCTCACTATCTCTCTCCCTTCTCCTCTCTCCTCTCTAACACTCTTTCTTGCTGCTATATCTCGTTTCATGTGAGAGGATCTCTATTTATTTTTCCTGCCGCTATGCGATCAACCAGAGATGTTTGTGGTGCAAAGTATACCCCCCAGCAGTCATCTCAATTTCTCCTAGCATACACATCGTATATGCACTAGGCATTGATGTGGCTCTGTGGATGTGTGCCTCAGTACAAGGCTCAGTGTGCAAAGTAGCTTTTTATGTTATTTTAAAGTGGTTTTGCAAGCATGTGTTCTGCTAGCGCCATCAGGTTTATTGCGTATAGGACTGCCTTCACCCATGCCACTGTCTTTATCGCTACCTGCTGTCTTGCTTTACTCGTTCACTGTCTTCATTGCCTCCTTCTGTCTTTACCAGGTCCCAATGTCGTCATTGCTATCATCTGCTTTTACTAGTGCCTTCTGTCTCCATTGCTATCTGCTGTCTTTACCAGTGACTTCTGTCTCATTGCTATCTGCTTTTTACCAGAGCCTTCTCCCATTGCTATCTGCTGTCTTTACCAGAGCCTTCTGTCTCCATTGCTATCTGCTGTCTTTACCAGAGCCTTCTGTCTCCATTGCTATCTGCTGTCTTTACCAGTGCCTTCTGTGCTCGTTGCTATCTGCTGTACCAGTTTGTCTTCTGTCTTTATTGTTCTCTGCTGTCTTAACATGTGTTCTGTGTTCATTGCTGCCTGCAATCTTCACCCGGTGCTGCTGTCTTCATTACTGCCTTCTGTTAAACTATTCTCTTCTACACTGTCTTTACCCCTGTCCTTTATCTTTACCAGGTTTACCCCTATCTTTACTAGTGCCTAATCTACACATTTTCCTGCTGCCTTGACTGCTGTTCAATCTCTTCACCAAGCTATTCAGTGTCTTCACTAATGTCCACCATCTACACCGTTGTCTGTGTTTTCACTAGTTCCTATCATCTCGACCATGCAGCACCCTCCGTATACATCATTGCCTGTTGTATTTACCGCTGCCCACTACCTTAACCCGATTTGCTGTACTGTTGCCTACTATCTTCACTAGTGCCCACGATCTCAACCAGTGCCCTCCGTCTGAAACATTGCCTTCTGTTTTTACCGCTGCCCACTACCTTCACCCAATTTGCTGTACTGTTGCCTGCTATTTTTACCAGTGCCCAGCATATCTCAACCCGTGCCCTCCGTCTGTCTACACTAGTATCTGATGTCTTCACCGGCGCATGCCGCCCCCTCTGTGCAGCTGCGTCGCCACTTTGTGATTGTTTGTGATGTGTTCACTGCCGGGAGCTTCTTACGTCGTCTAGCTCTGCTGCTGTTTGCAGGTGTCGTGTGGTGGGGGGGGGGGCTTGCAGCCCGCGGCCGTTTTTTCGTCCCCGGGGACTGGCCGCTGCTGCTGTCTTCTAGGTCTGTATCGCGCAAGGTTTTTACGCGCGTGAGATTTAGATGGCAAGTGTGTTTATCTTTGCCGGCCGATCATCGGGTCCTTGGACCTCCGCCAAGTAATAGATACTCGCCGCTGATTTTCTGCGCGGCAGACCGGTCTGATTTGGCTGGATGGTGCGTTGGCGCCCCGTGAACCAGCCGCCTTCGCCGATGGAATGCTGAGAGGTTTTCTGGAAGGTTTCTTCTGCGAAGGCTCACTTCGGTTGTCTCGGCCACATGTTGCAGAATCGCCGTCACTGCTGCTTACTCTTGTCAAAACCTTTTTTACGTCTAAACAAGCAGAAGTGGCTCCCACACGGCTCAGGTGTCATGCAATTGCTTACGCTGGGCCAGATGACTTTGGCAAGGGGTGAGGATGCAATGAGATGTGAGCGACCACCTTGCCTATTTTTTTCGTGTGTGGACAATCATTATTTTTTTTGATGGCATTGACCCTTTTCTCGTGTTCTCCTCAGCTGCATCCCTACTGCGTCTCATCTCGTGTCTTCAACCTGAACTCGGGCCCCCTCACAACTCTCACTGCCGATTCTTCCACCCCTCAAGAGCGCAGGATGCATAATCTTATGGCGAATTCTGGGTCAGGCCGATCCCTGGCCAACAACCTGCTAGCTGACAGCACAACGCATTCGTCCGACAGACGAGACCAGATGTAGATGCGAATATTTTTGGTGCGCTTTGCGACGGGCTACCAAGGGTATCGCGCACACGGGTGACACGGGAGACAAACGAACGCCTCGTCCCGCGCACTTCGTCGAGTCACGGCGCCGGCTCTCACTTTTTTACGTGTCCGCGCCGAGCACTCTCGCGCATTTGTTGTGGGATGTCGACCTGACATCTAGACTAGCTTCGATTACGTCACGGGAATCGTCGTCGTCGTCGTCGTCGTCGTCGGGTTCGGGGCGGTTGCGCCGGTGCCTCTGTGTTATATGTGTGGCAAGGTGCCACCGATCGCTGGACAATAAGACTAGCGCAAAGCGATGAGCTTCCGTCAGAAACCTGGATACGTGTGCGAAGTACGTCTGTGCCAGATGGGTCAGAAGCAGTCGCATAGTACACACTTGTCTCTCGTCATAGGTAGGCTGGAAGATAACAAGTTTCCCAGTTGATGAGGAGTATAATGACGTCTCGTGCATGATTGCAGGATAGATTTAAGCTCGGTTTTCTATGTGGTAGAAATATAAGCGTGTTCCTTTTCAATCATCAGCCCAGAATATAAGCTTGCCATGGAATGCAACAGTCACTGAATTACCTTTTCTTTGCCATGATTCTGCTAACCACAAATATTATAGGTATTTAGTTAAAGATCTAACTGATTTAAGATCCAGCCGTATGTAACGTGAGAGATTATAGAGTTGGGGTTGGCACTTGTCGAGCATAGGACCTCTATATGCATTCGTGCATGCAAGTGTAATGAGCCAGCAACGACGTGTGATACTGTGCACTGCCATTTGCTGCCATCTGCTGCCCCAGCTTGTTTACAGCGAATGCTTTCTACGTTTCAGCTGCACAACAGAGTGGCCAGCCCTACCGGGAAAACCAATACGGGACTAATCAGTATCAGACGACGAGTCAGACCCCGCCACAGAGCCTGTATGAGTCGATCGGGCGAGCGTCTGGGCAGAAGCTTCAATCAGGTACGGCGGCAATGAGATGGAGCGTCTGCTGCTTTTAGCTATCCGTGACCGTGACCGTTTTCGAGACCGTGACCGTGTCCGTTTTAGGTGACCGTGACCATGACCGTGACTGTTTTAGGTGATTGTGGCCATGACCGTGACTGTTTTAGGTGACCGTGACCATGCCCGTGACTGTTTTAGGTGACCATGAGCTGTATCTAGAAAGCTGACCGCACGTCACATTCACGTGATAGGCCAGCAAGCAATTGAAGGATGATTCTAATAAATTCTTTAATTTCTTCTAATTAAGATTCTAATTAATAATTTCCAGAACAATCTTTAAAAATGAACTAATAACTTCCGAGGTGATCTTACACAAGTAAATCGAGCACATTCTGAGGTATTAGTGACAGTATCATGTGGAAATAACGTGTGACTGCAGCAGCTAACTGGGTGATTTGTCATGGGTATACCACAGGTCAGCAGCCAGCACTGTATCAGTCCTGTCTGCCACAACAACAACAACAACAACAGCCGCAGCAACCGCCAGCACCACAGCAGCAACAGCAGCAGCAGCAGCAGCTACAGATTTATCACCAACCCACACTACAGAATGGTGTCGATGACACTGATGCCACGTACAGAAACAGGTGAGAACTACGAACAAGCGTTTCAGTCTACAGTAAACACCCGCATAAAAGAACCCGTGATTTTCTGTTTCAGGCTGAAGTGGTTCTTATATATATGGTACTTAGTGAGAAATCAACCTGAAGAGGTTCTTAAAGAGGTTCTTAATTGGGGGGGGGGATATTGTGTACATTATCGTACTATACATTATTGTATAGTTTCAGAAAATATTCACACCATCCTCCCCCTCAATCCTCTGTATCGTCAAAATCAAGCCCCAACATTTACTGGAAAATGAGGCAAAATACCCCCTGGAAAATCCAATCCTCCTGTGAGGAGGTATTAATATTATCTGGAACTACATGTTGTTGGTTTCCAATGGTGTAGCACACATACTTGGATTGCCCCAGTTTGTTCTAATTTTCGGTATTTTTTTTATAACCTGTTTAATTTATCAGGCTGAAGAGGTTCTTATATAATAGGTGCTTTATTGGTCCAATTTCAGCCTGGAGGTTCTTAAAATCACGGGTTCTTTTATGCGGGTGTTTACTGTATGTGTGAAAACTCACTCAAACCGTGAGACTTACAGCAGAACTTAAAACGATTCGTTAGACACAGTGAGGTGTCGCAGAACACGCCCAAAGGACCGTCGAAATGGGTGCTGTATATCTCATGATAAGAGGGAAGTTGTACGATTATTATAGCCCTGTGCAGTATTTGTGGCGTGACGTGGGTGTTTGTTCTGTCCAACACTCTGCCAACGGGGAAGCATTACATGTCAAGCAAAAAGCTGAAATAGTGAAGCTATAGTGTAAACAGCCACCACTAGAGGGCCGTTTTTAGACGAGCTGTTGTTGAGATATGGGCAGTAAACATCGTATCTATACCTAGGCGCCAGTTATATCGGCCTCTGAATCAACGCTGGCTTTAACACTTGACAGTTTTTGCGCGAAACGAATGGGTAATAAAACTCTATTTATTTGCACAGTGCACATTTATTCTTTCTCCACGCTTCAGATCTGAAGTGCAGGAACCCCGGCGCATCTCGCAAGCGAGTAACGGCGGCGCTTCCCCGCAGCTACGACAGATGCCTGCCACACCTCCCGCTCCGCCCGCACCTCCGCCCCCTCCCGGCGGCCTTACAGCACCACATCCCCCGGGGCCTCCGGGCCCCCCAGCCCCACCACCACCTCCCGGACCAGGGTCACGGTCTCCTGCCACAGCTGGAGGAGGAAGCAATCTGACAAATGCTATAGCCAATGCAAAACTTCGAAAGACATCAAGGGTAAGGTGGATACGTGTAATTAGACAAGCTTATGGGGACACACTATGCACTGCATAGAGCTCTCAAAAATGAATTATTAATAACGTTGGATATCAATTTTACACATTTTATACCTATTATTGGCTGACCTATTAATATTGTTTGTAGACGTCAGATGGCAACAGCAGTCCATCTGTGCGGCCCCCTGGTGGTGATGAGCTGATCAGTGAGATGCAGATGACACTTCGACGCAGAAAGATGCGTGGGAAAGTCAATGGAAACAATGGCGACAACGTGAGTTAGATGTGATTGCATGATTGGCACAAGTTTTTCGATACTTTGTAACAAACAATGTCTATGTGGTTTTGTTCACTTGTTCGCAGATTCCCAGATTTTATGACCTTTGTACCTAGATTCGTATTAAACTTATATTTAAGCCATGAAATGTACAGTATTGTTTAATACTATAAAAACATTGAATTGCAACATATGCATCCCTTTGCTTTTGTCTATGATTCATCAGCTATGAAAAATTGTTTTAGGCTTACATTGTACCGTCATAATAGCACCTTGTCTCTATGTAGTTTCCACACATTTTTTCATTGTGGAGGTTTAACTTTTTATGTATGTCGTGGTTTTGGCTAGTGTACATTACAGTGGAAATTCAAATAACTGAGTACTTGGTATACTTTTGCACACGTTTGCACAGTGCTACATACTCAAAATTGCACTGTAGTGTAACATAACTTAAAATCATGACGTATATTCGTAGCTATTTCTTCACTGTAAGAGTTGGTGTTAGACTAAGATAATCATCCGCAAAAATGCAGGTTAGTGATGTGAATTTAACGACATAATACGTGGATATACTCGAACTGTTGGTGTTTACAGGATGATGCATCCTCACCACCCAGCAACGACACGGAGCGCCCTCCATGGCGGAAAAGCAACAGCAACAGCAGCAGCACAAATTCCATGAAGCTGTCAGTTAATGGAGGAGGGGAGTCACCCAAACTAGGAAGAAGGTACTTCATATGCAGCAGAGACTGCAGCGTTTGCCGCAGATCTGTGGGCTCTGTTGATCATAAATAAAATACAGGAGCACCCATCTCACACAATCTACCAATGTCATTTCTAAATTAACGTGGTACTGATCACATATGATCTAGTATATCAATAATAACATGTGAAGGATTTAACCTAACATAACACATAATGTAACGTGGGCTGTAACAGTTACCTTATAATAATTGGCACCACTAACTGCAAGAGAGGTAATTTTAAATATTAGTTGCCAGATCAGAAAAATTCAAGCAGATTGTAATTTTAGATCAGACCTGGATAAAATCTCCAATGATTACTTCAGACAGCCATGGCAATTTAATTATCTACGCAGTGAAGTAGATATCATGCGAGGTCTCTACGAGCTAAATAGCAGTAGCACACGATACATAGATCGACGAATAGATAAACGTATACGGTTATGATTGCCGTACTTGCAGACGGTTCGGTTCCTCGTCTTCCAACGAGCTTGCTTCCATGTCGCCTGCTGTGAACGGTCACGATATGTCGCCGGACTTGGATCGGGTGAAGCAGGAGATACTCGACGAGATGCGGCGAGACCTACAGAAGATGAAGCTAGAGATCATCGATGGTAATTTGAATTCCGTAGGAAGGGAAGGGAAGGGAGAGCGAGCGAGAGAGAGAGAGAGAGAGAGAGAGAGAGAGAGAGAGAGAGAGAGAGAGAGAGAGAGAGAGAGAGAGAGAGAGAGAGAGAGAG